GGTCCTTCCCCCCCCCCCCCCCCCCAAGCCCACCTAAGTTGGGAGGGTAATAGTGATGAACGGGCGCTGTTCTAGGTGCAAACAATTACCCCGCGCACCCAAGGGGTTTGCCTTGCCGTTCCATTCACCCCTTTTCCCCGCGTTCGTAATTGTAAAAATACGGCCTGACCCGATAACTTGGTTACCTAACTTCCTAGGTACTAGCGGGTCACCCACAGGTGGATAACAAGGTTGGAAGTCGAATCCACAATGGCTTTCTTCGGGGGTCGATTACCGAGACGATGAAAATAATGAACCAGTTGCGCGAGCGGCTTAGCGAGCAGAGGGCGAGCAAGGGCGAGGCTCGCCCCCCGTTATTGATTTATTAGAAAGGTTCTCGAAAAGCGGCAAAGCTGATTGGATCTATACTGTACCTCGTATACTGGATCGCCCTTGGAAAGAAACACCATGGTTCAACTCAACCGCCATCGCACAACCACGGCCCAGCCGAAACCCAGATACGGCCATCTGTCCCAGATTGACCCCGTATTCGCAACTCTCAAAGACGCTCTCGACAAGAGATTCTCCGAGCTGTGGTCTTTGTCGCTGGACGATTTGAAAACTGCGTACCGAAATGCTCCTCCGGCGCTCCCAGAAGACGTCCCCGTGGCGGGAAGGGACTACCAAGTGTCAGATCGAGAGATGTCGACCAGAGACGGCGCAACGATCGGTTTGCGGATCTACAGGCCCATGCAGAGCAGGGCAGGGGCTGTGTTGGTTCTGAAAGCGCATGGAGGGGGTAAATCTTGATATTTCCTTCTTTCCCCCCTGCTCTCTATGATATATATACCTTTTCGCTCATACTTGTGACTTATATCCAAAAGGCTGGGTCCTGGGGAACCACCAGGTCGAAGAAGTCGAAAACCGCATGTTGGCTGCTGCACATGGCGGCGGGGCCGTGGTCGTCAGTGTCGATTACCGAATGGCGCCGGAGTACAAGTTCCCCTACGCGGTCAACGACTGTTTTGATGCCTTGAAATGGGCAAGTTTGTGTCCTTCCCCCCAGGTTTCCAAATTAGTGCATTAAATCTCTAACTGCTCACAAGTGCAAGGCCAATGCCTCTGACTTGGGGATCGATCCAGAATCAATCATCGTCGCGGGAGGAAGTGCCGGAGGCAACATCGTAAGACAACGTGAACCCAACGGTGAAGAAGCATACTGAGGAAATGACTGTGTAAGGCGGCTGTCCTCGCCCTGATGGCCCGCGATCAAAACGAGTCGGGCATCATCGGACAGGTGTTGAACATCCCCGTCACCTGCCACCCGGATCTTTTCCCCCGAGACAAATACGAGTACGGCAGCTACGAACAAAACGACAGTGCCAGCGTCGTCGACGCGCCCAAGATGCACTGGTTCTGGGAACATTACATGCCCGAGGTCGTCCCAGACGTGTATGCCAGCCCACTCTTGTCCAAGAGTCACGCTGGACTACCACCCGCTCGTGAGTCAATGTATTACCAACCGACAAGAAATCATCCAGACTCTCTAACCACCCGCCTAAAAGTGATTCAAGTAGCTGGCCTCGATCCTCTCCGAGACGAAGGCCTAGCCTACACGGAAGCACTCAAGGATGCTGGTGTGCCTGTCACTCAAAAAGTATATCCCGGATTGCCGCACGGTTTTTACCTGGTTCCGACCCTGGAACAGACGCGACAGTATTGGAAAAGCACGGTAGACTTTGTCAAGCATCTCAGCGCATCCGCCAGGATTTAAAGTTGTCAGTGGTAAACCTTCCAGTAGGGCGGTTAACGTCAATTATCTGATAGAATAGATCGATGCCTCAGACCGTAAGCAATTCCTCAATATTTCATCAATACAAGACCGTAAACGTGGTGGTTCTTTCAAAGTAGATAGCCTCAAAGCATGAAAAAGGCTATGCCTCTCGCATGTGAGAAGCATTTTGGTGTTTGATAAGCTGAGACTTCCATATCCCCCCTTTGACATATTTAGGGGTTGTTTCAGATGCAGAGTTCAGGGCCAGCGTCTATCGTGATATTGACGTCTGAATGAACATCTCCTACGCAAGCTTGAAAGCCTTGTACCCGGCAGCTGCCACTGCTTCGCACCTCCTCCGAAACTCTGGCGCAGACCCCATGTACCGGGCCACGATTCGCTTTTCCTTGCCTGCCACATTGCGATTGACGCCCGTCATCCACGAGTCAACCTTGGTACTCAAGAGATCTTTGCCCAGGTCATGAACATGGTCTGTCCATTCTTGCACCTTTTTTCGGTCTGTCAGCGGAAAGGGTATGCTATACGTGAAGGACAAAAAACTTACTCCTTCGTCAGTGGCCTCGATGAGAGTGATGCCGTGAGCCCGACAGTACTCTATGCATTCTGCTATCCAGCCCACGGCAAATTCGATGCTGCGAGGGATATTTCCATAAGCTTGATGGGGCCCCATCGACATGAACATGTTGGGGAAGTTCTTGACCGTCAGGCCCAGGAATGTCTTTGGGCCGTCTTTCCATTCGTCATAAAGTCGATGGTTATCAATGCCTCGAAAGTCAATTGCATCAAATGCTCCAGTCACTGGTGCTCAAACGCCTCTGGTCAGCTAAACTGGACGCCAAAGATCCTTTAGAAGCTGGATTGCACAACCACTCACCGGCATTAAAGCCTGTAGCATAGATGATCATGTCAAATTCGAACGTCTCTTGAGTGGTAATGAGTCCATTCTCTGTGATGCGTTCAATGGGAGTCTCGGTCAGATCCACGAGGCGCACGTTGGGCTGGTTATATGCTTCGTAGTAATTAGTCTCCATTGGGACTCTCCGTGTCCCAAATCCTAAGCCAAAGTCAGTCCCAGTCTTTCAACTCAGGTTCGATATTGATTAATTTCAGCAGATGGAAATATGCATACCGTGGTTCTTAGGGATAAGTTTCTCCGCCGTCCAAGGGTCATGAACTCGTGCCCGGATCTTTTTAGCCACGAATGCAGTGACAAGATCGTTCGCCTTCTCGTCGACGAGGATCTCCTTGTAGTTGGACAGCCACATGGGGAACCCTGGCGTCGCATACAACTTCTCCCAAAAGACTTCTCGCTCCTCGGGAGTAGCATCCCATATTGAGTCGTAATTTGCATCGTGTAAAAAGCACGCTCTGGTCCGATTCAAAGTCTCCAACATTTCAGGGTATCGCTTTCGAATCGACGTCATTTCTTCTTCCTCGATCTTACTGTTGAGTAGTGGAATCGCCTGCATTTACGCTTAGCCCACGAGTTATCGTCTCTGGGTGAGGCAAGTCTCCATTACTTACCCAATTTGCTGTCCTTTGAAATACTGTCAAGCTCTTTGCCGTTTTAGCTATCACTGGTATGGCTTGTATGGCCGTGGCTCCAGTGCCTATAATCGAGCGGGACACATAGTCAGAACTTGTTCGAGTGGTGCGTGAGCAGCGATCTTACCGATGATGCCCACCCTCTTGCCTTCGAACTTGACCTCTTCGTTGGGCCATCGAGAAGTGTGATACGCCGTCCCCTTGTAGTCTTGTACGCCCGGTATATTTGGCAAGGTTGGATTACTCAACACGCCTATGCAGGTGATGAGGTAGCGGGACGTGTATGCGTTTCCAGACGCGTCGGTGAGTCTCCAGAGGAGATTCCCTGAATCCCAATGCGCTTTTTCGACCCGTGTTTCGAACTGCATGTTGTCCCATAACTCGAGCTTGTCGCACATGAACCTGATGTAGCGCTCGGTTTCGGCCTGTGGTGCGAAATGCTCCGTCCAGGTCCACTCGTCTAGCATCTCCTTGGAAAAGAAGAATGCGTACGAATACGACTCGGAGTCGAAGCGACAGCCAGGATAGCGATCTAGATTTAGAGAAAGAGCTTGGAGTCAATGTAAGGCCGCTTTGAGCGAAGGACAGGCTGACTGACTCCAGTACCAAGTACCACCGACCGACGTGCCTGCCTCGAGGACTCTGTGCGTCAGATTCAACTGCTTCATTCGATGAGAAGCATAACATCCCGACAACCCAGCACCAATAATGAGGACATCATAATCCGGCTGTACTTGTTGAATGGAACCCATAATGCCAGGGACTATCACAACTGGTGTTGAAGGTGTACAAGCATCCACAAGGGTTTTCAAGTTGGTCAATCTCTTTTTTTTCTGGCGATACTCCAAAGGACTTTCAGATGGGATGGCAGTTCAATAAGGCTTCAACACCCTGGTTTACGGAACACGCCACTGGGCACCCAACTGGGGTGTGAAGCCAAGGTTCGGGAATCGATCACCGTCGGGCAAGCCTGTTCTTATTAGTCTTCTCCGCACCTTCTACTCCGTAGGAACAATTTCACGGCCAGAGCGCGGGCTGTTGCCACTCATACCGAATGAGCCCCGGATCCAAGATGAACGAAGGCCGAATTTGCTGTCTGTCCCCCCTTAGGGGTTGGGTTTACGGGGGCTTGTCGTATGCACCATCGAGTGGCAGCTGGACAGATTTACCCTGTCAGTTAATGGATCATGCTGGGACATTACAGCTGCGCACCAAACGTTCGTCTACAGTGTTTACTGTAACCGGACATTGAAAGCTCTGCTCTCTAATGATCTCTGTAGACATATTTTCTTCTACCAGGCACGGTATCTGAGGCAGGGATCCTGAAGTTCTCGCAACTAGTGACGACGTTCGGAGGAATAGAATTCACAAGCTATAGGCCCCTATGAGGCGGTTCACTGGAATTTCGCAAATAATGACGATTTTTGGACAGGATACTCTCCGTCAATATCCTCAACGACTTGTGCTGAACTGCAGAACTGGGCTAGATCGAGGAACTTAGGCTTGACACACCAAATGCTATCATGTTGAAAGTATTGAAAGGTCGATGCCATGGATATATATATCGCGCACTAGGCTAAAAACCCCTTCCTCTCAACTACTCAGCCTCCTCGTTATCCCAGAACACAAAGGTACGAACCTCAACGCTAGTCCTTGGTTCTCCCTCTTCGTCCTGATTCGCAAGCGGGAAAGACGAGTGTACGGCGCATCGCGCGCGGCCATCCTTCTTGGAGTCAAAGATCTTAAACACCCACGCCTCCTCGGGAGTCATCTCGCTGGCAAAGTACCATTTCTGGTTGGGATTGTGCGCCATATTTGTAACCTCATATCTTGCCGCCTTTTCCCCGTTGAGATTGTACTCGTACCGCTGCTTGTGACTCATGTTCTGAGACACGTTGGCGTACTCTCCTGCGCCCTTGGGGGGCAGGTTGGCGACAACGGTTCGGAAGTCCCTCTCATCAACGGTACGAAAGTCGCAAAAGGCCAGAGGATCGCGCGTGACCTTCTTGATAATGGGGGCCCAGACATTGACGATGGCCCATCGTTTCTTGACCACTTTGTCTGCTTCTTCCTCTGGAAGGTTGAGGTACAGAAGTTGTTCAGCGCCGCGGTAAGATTGATCGACGTGGGCGAACCTCTGTCAAGAGAACTTTGTCAAAACACATTGTCCGTCTGTCAAACCTCGGGAAGGATGGTGACTTACAGCTGGATTCGTGGCCGTGACGAAATCAGTATCCGCTTTGCCCTCCGAGGCCTTCAGTGACGCTTGAGTCGTATCACGCCGAGACAGATGTGAGATGACATGGACACGATCTCCTCCAGTCCTGTAGTGGGAGGAAGGCCCGAAATCAGTCAAGAACATAGCGTTGCTGATGGGTGACTTACACTTTCTTGACAAGTTCGACAATTTCCGGATAGTAGACCTGTTTGATATGTTCTTCGTCGGCGAATTCTTTCTCCTTGGACACATGGTCGACCAGCTCGAATCCAGCCGTGTCAAAGGTGAATTCGGAGCGTGCTGGACGCATGTCGTGAATGTACATTTCGTGTGGGACATGTTTCCTGCGTTTCTCAAATGCCGTTCCTGGGTAGGTTTGAACTATGCCTCCATCTTTCAGCTCCAGGTAGTAGTTGAGTGTGGTCGGCTCCTTAGGGAGGGTAAGGGTTTCGGTAGCCATGCCGACGAAGTGGTATTAGACCCTGAAGCCAAAAGCTATGAACTGATTCTAAAGCACAAGTATGTACGCTGTTTGTGAAAGTGGCGGTGGTGTTCCATACTCTCAGCGAGTGCAGACGACAGTTTTTATACTTTCATGCTGTATTGACATTTCCTTGCCACTGGCCGAAAGGACGTGAAACAAACCACCTGGCGCCGAGACCTTTTCGGACTGGATGCTTTCTGTGTCTATTTCTGAGATGATCGTCTTGGTCGTCCAGTCGGTACATGCACTTCTCCGCCTTAGAGGCAGTGGGACCTCCTCTTCTCGGTCATCGATGCCCGAACGACTCGCCCCCGGTATGACCTATACGTGAGGACCGACATGGTCATTCTTCAAAACAGACTTGCAGTCACAGGTACTGAATCCCACCAGGAAGAATCTTCTGGTGCAAATGAAGGACAATCGCCAAATCATGCCACCACGCAGGGTTGTTCTGCTATCTTCATCTGGGGGAAACGATGCACATTTTCGAAGCTCTGACCAATGCTTGGACCCTGTCAATTAGGTGAAACCGAGTGAACAACAGCAGGTCAGGCGCGGGTCTGTATCCATATGCTCCAACACATTGTCTTGCCAAGTACGAGGTGGTAGGGAAATCACCCTCTGTTCAGCTGAGGGGTAGCGAGCCTCACTCGTGTTGAGGACTTTAGCAGTCGCCTTGCACCGGCCATGGTAGAAGAAGGAAGCCATGACGTGAGTAATTGCGTAAGCTGTCTAAGAGTACTTCCTCTGGTGGAGTAAAGCTTTCGATGTCCTTCTCTGTCTAGTACAAAGTCGTCTCTAACGTCACTTGGAAATGCCAGCACCAAGACACCGTCGTGCCTTCACACTGTCACATTGTAATTTTCTGGATTGCAACACATATGAGAGAATCGGAATCCGGATCCACCATTAGTAGTGTGCTGCCCTCACTAGAGAGTCCACAAGCTCTGTAAGGCATGGATGATTCAATTGGGTTCGTCGTCCACCACAAGACGACATCTGCCACTGTCGAGGGCATGTGTACTGATTCAACAATGATCCTGCAACTGCGTCACTTGGTGACAAAATGCTCTGATTTGCTGGCACAAGGCATTGGACATAGTTGCAGGCATAATGAAAGCAGCAAGGAAGTCGACCTCAGTATAATGCTCCTGACAATTAGCAGAGACTGACCATTCCATAGGCAACTCCAACACGGGAATCGCAAGCCGTGATAATATCATGAACATCTTTTTGTCTGAGTTAGACCCAGAGTTTTAGTCCGGCAAACGAGCGCCGGTCTCCCATCCCGCGTCCCGAAGTTTGTGCTGGCCATTTAGTGACTTCGCAGGTTCAAAGTTTTGATGTTAGATGCACCTTTTGTGGTCAATCTCCAACCCAAGCATTTTTGGTGACAAGCAGAAATATGCGGGCTCTCCGATATCACGGAAACAGGGATATCAGGCTTGAAGATGTTCCAGAACCCGAGTGCAAACCCGGTTGGATTAAGCTGAAGAACGGGTTCACTGGTATCTGCGGAACTGGTTCGTTGATACTTGGTCATTCGCTTTGTATGCCACGAGTCCCTGGGCAAGCTGCTGATGATTGGCGATTGATTAGATCTCCATGAGTACACCACCGGGCCGTCTTGGGTCCCTACAACGCCACACAACTTGACGGGTGCCACCATGCCTTGCACCATAGGCCACGAGTTCTCTGGTACCATCGTGGAAGTTGGGGAGGGACTTTCGAATTTCAAAGTCGGGCAAAAGGTTGCCGTCGAGCCGTGTATATCAGATGGCACGTGTGAAGAGTGCAAAGAGGGCTTCCCCGTCATGTGCGGAAATCTTGCTGTGGTTGGCTTCAGTGGCTGGGACGGCGGAGGCGGAATGGCCGAGTACGTCTGTCTACCACCCAAGAATATTCACGTAGTTCCAGATAGTATGTCGCTTGAAGTGGCAGCTCTCGTCGAACCGCTTACTGTGCCATGGCGAGCCATCAAAGCCTCAGGTTTCAAGGCTGGCCAAAGTGCGCTGGTGCTTGGAGCAGGTTTGTTCATTCTTCGCAAAACGTTAGTATTGGATCTTCTGACCTTGTGCCCAGGTCCTATCGGCTTGATGACTATCCTCTGCCTCCAGGCGTTTGGTGCAGGCAAGATTCTCGTGTCTGATCCGGCCAAGGGACGCTTAGAACTTGCACAGAGCCTTGGGGCTGAACATGTTTTTGATCCGACCAGGGACGACGTGGGACTGATCAGTAAAGGCATTTGCGATGGCAGAGGACCGCACGTTGTGTTTGAATGCGCTGGCGTCCAAAGCTCATTGAACACCGCTTTTGCAGCAGTCCGAAAACGAGGAACCGTCTTGGGTCTTGCTCTATGGGAAAGCAAAGCCACGGTCGATCCTAATGAGATAGTCTTGGGGCAGATCAAATACGTGGGTATCCTCCCTTACGTTCCGGGTGACTTCCAGGAAGTCATCAACGCGATTGCCGCAGGCGAAATCCATCGGCCTGAGAGACTCATCTCGGCAGAGATACCGGTGGAGGATGTAGTGTCGAAAGGGTTTGAGCTTTTACTCAACGACAAAAGCAATGCTGTGAAAGTATTGGTAGAACCTCTTAGCAACAGCTCCAGTGTGGGAAATAAGTAGATATAGCTAGGTCAAACTTACATGCTGGGATTCAGAGCGTAGCCACATCTCTGTCAATGAATCTGTCAGTACGAAGACAATTCGAAAGCCGGGGCGCTATCAAAGAACCTTGCAGAATCTCAAAGTGTCCGCGAAGATATGATCCTCACTTGCTTTTCCAAGGCACGAACATGTGACTCACCACATCAAATGTAAGGCGTTAAAGAAAGGGGCGCGCTATCCCACAATAAGCTTAGCCGTATTTATCTCTTGGCATCACTGAAATTTCAAATGTTGGTCATGTTTCCTGTCGGTCGAACAGCTCACAGTATCCTCTCAAACAGTACGAGACAGCCTTCTGTGGTCCCCTAGAAAAAGATGGAAGGCAGCACATCTGACTCGCGTCCGGCAAAACGAGCCAAACTCGACATAGCCCAAACAGATGGCAGTTGTGACACCGCCTCAATGGCTCCGTCCGCTCAACCCGCTGGTGCTCCGGCCATTGTGCCCGGGAATCTAGTTGTGGACGACAGCGTAAAGGAACGCGAAGTAGGTATCACGGCCTTCGTCGACGGATCCAAAAGCCTTTTCCAAGGGATTCTCAAGAAGAGATATACAGATTTCTTGGTCAACGAGATCCTACCTGGCGGAACGGTGTTGCATCTTCGATCAATGAGTGCGAAAGGCCTGCAGCCACATGGTTTGCATAATAACGACTCAGAAGGTCCGGCGCCAAAAGATTCAAGGCATGTGGAGCACGAGGCAAATGCGTCGGAGCCATCTGCGCCGAAAGATGAGACTTTGAGAGAGGTGGAGAAGACAACAAATACGAGCACTTCAGATCCTGCTAGAGAGGAAGGCTCTGGCGTCCAAAATTCCGAAGTAATACTCTTTCAGGGTTCCCTGGGTAGAGATTGTCCAGACTGACACGATACAGATTTCCGACGATGATCGCGCCAAATTAGTCGAGTATTTCAGCGAGGAGACTGTGGCACAGATCATCACCCTCTATGAGTCCATCCTGCGGAATCCGGGGAAGAAATCTCGGGACTATTCCACAGTTCGGACATCATTCACCTCAGACCGCAGCGTGCGGTGGAAAATTCATCAGGACATCCGCCGCATCTTTCAGAGCAAGATCGACTCTAGCACAGATAACGAGGGCATATTGGTTCTCACTGCGGCATCGTCATCAACCAACAAGAATCGTAATCGCGACTGGTCAAAATCTAACGAAAAGTCCTCACGCCCGGGAAAGTTAAGTTGGATAGATCGTGGGGGGGAATACGTCTATTTCACTCTTTACAAAGAAAACAAGGATACGCTTGAAGTCATCTCTTACCTGACCAAGCAACTCAAGACAAACAACAAGACGTTTCAATTCGCGGGCACGAAAGATCGGCGTGCTGTGACCGTACAGAGAGTCAGTGCGTTCCGTGTCGAGGCAGAGCGGTTGGCTGCGTTGAACCGTTCCCTACGATATGCGGCCGTTGGAGATTTCGAGTACCAGAAACACGGGCTCGAACTTGGCGATTTAACTGGGAACGAATTTGTGGTCACCTTGAGAGACTGCCAACTTGTTGAGTTAGCCTCCGGAACGAGCACCGCTGAAGAGAAAGCCGCCATCGAAACCTATCTGTCACAGGCGCTTCAACATCTTCACGAATATGGCTTCTTGAATTACTATGGGCTGCAGCGGTTCGGGACTTTCGCCACACGCACTGATGTTGTCGGACTGAAGATTCTAAAGGAAGACTTCAAGGGTGCGTGCGATGCTATTCTGGAATTTTCGGCCGTGGCACTGAAAGCCTCACAAACCAAAGACTCGGGTGTCCTTGTGAGCCAGGATGACCGTTCGCGCGCTGAGGGAATCAATACCTGGCGAACAACCGGCAAGATCAATGATGCGCTTGACAAGATCCCGCGCAAATTCTCCGCCGAGACAGCATTAATCCGACACCTGGGCAAGCGGCCGCAGGACTATTTGGGTGCTCTCCTTGCAATCCAGCGCAACCTCAGACTCATGTATGTCCATGCATATCAGTCTTTTGTGTGGAATCTTGCAGTAGGGGAACGATGGCGGTTGTTTGGCGGCAATGTCGTGGAGGGCGATCTCGTGCTGGTGTCCGAGCACAAGGAGAGGCAAGCCGACGAGGCACCATCAAAAGAAACGGTGGATGCTGATGGGGAAATTGTCGTTGAGCCGTCAGGCGATGACCGCGCCTACGACGTGGACGACAGGTTCGAACGAGCCCGCGCACTCACCGCTACCGAAGCCGAGAGTGGCCAGTACTCCATTTTTGACATTGTCCTCCCCCTGCCCGGCTTCGATGTCGTCTACCCGGCCAACGCGAGCGGCGAATGGTA